CTTTTGCAATGAGGCTAAAGGTGACCTTGTTGTGATAGAGACCAGTATCTAGTTAGCATGATAACAAAAGATTAATTTTCATTTGAAAAGCAGCAATGTCTGTAACATAACAAGGTCACCCTTAGCCTCATGACTATTATAAGTTAAACATAACCACAGTAAAGTGTGTGCTCTGATTGGTCAACTTAGTAATTGCACCATTTGCCCATAGATGTATGCTGCTGACATGAGCAAATGTAAAGACTAGTTCTCCACACACACACTAACTTGTTATTTTTTTGGGTTTCATGAGATTTGCTAATTAAAAGGGGGCTCTTTGCTGAAATGTATCAGTGTTACGTTATAAAACAAGTGGTAAACACCACAGCATACATGTTAGAGGTTTGCTTAACCCAGAGTCTCTCTCAGCTATCACCTCACATGACTCTTATGCATCTTTTGTGCATAGCAACCTCCTGTGCGCATCAATAATTAGAGTGTATGCTGTGGTGTTTACCATTTGTTAAATGGCAACCAACTATTGGCCAGGGGTCAATGAGAGCTTAAAGTAAAAACAAACCAGTTGCTGTAAGGGCATGAATATGGGAGTGGCTGAGTTGTGTAATTCTTTTAGACTTTTTAGTCTTGTTGATGAAGAACATGGAACAAGTCTCTAGGACCTATCCCAGAGGGGGGTTAAGCGAAATCAAAGTGATAGGGGAATCTCACATGAAAACTGCTCCATTTTTATGTATCACTTTTTAAGATAATTTCTGGGAGGAGGTGTGTTTCCTTACCACTTAAAATCATGGAGTGGTTGCCAGGAATGACACAGCATTAAATATTACTTGACAACTGAACCACACTGCTAATAGCCTAGAGTAAGTAGTGTAGTTGCTTGGATTTTGAAACTTGTAATAAGGAAGGTTTTAGTTATGAATTGGAAGCATGAAGATAATAATAGACCTTTTGTTCTCTATTTTTGTAGGCTAGGAGAAGTGATGGATTACCACTGACAACAAGTAGCAATGATGCAGCAAAAATGTTTGATGCTACCCTAACACAGGTTGGCTTTGGTTGAAAACTTATACAAGTGTCAGCTAGGGCTAAAGGGAAATATCGTAAGAATCAAACTACTAATTTTAACTGATACAGATATCTTAATTTTTATTTATTGTGCACAATTCTAGTATGGCAAGATATTAATTTGTTTTTATGATCAACTTGAAAAACCCTAGTTAATATGTATGATTATCAATGTGGGAGAAGTGTAAATCTAGATTTGCCCTGCCTACAACCATTAATTGATAGCTACAAAATGAATAACAAGGAAAATCTCTATGAAGATATGAGCAACTTCATTTTTCTAAATAAAAATGAAGTTTAAATGGCTACCATAAAATTCTGAAAATATTAAGCCCCTCTGTGTACAAACCCCTCCATGTAGAAGCTCCCAAATTTGAAATGCAAAAAATACCTCGTATGATAAGCACCTCTGAATATAACCCCCTGGGATTTGTATTTGGAAATTTAATCCTTGATAATACAAACCAAAGCAAACTACACATAACCACTTTTATCATGAAGTCTGTTTAGTCATAAAAGAATGATTCCATGCACTAAAGCAATGAGGTCAACAAGTCTTCACTCGCACCTTGAATTCATTTGGTCCATAGACAAAGTATTTGCAAGGAAGTTCAATTCTGTCATCCTGTACCAAAACTCCCTCTGGTGCTCCACACTTTTCATAGTTATCACGAACTGTGAGCCTGAACTACGTTACTATTTTTACTGTATTTCCATTCTAACAAAGTTTATTGCCATTAACTGTTTGAACTTGGCATTTTCAATGTGATTACTTTGTTATCATGAATCTCTAGCCATAACCCTAATAATTACCAGTTGCACATTCAAACATTTTGACACAAATTTCCCTCCAATTATAAGCCCAGCCATGCAGTTGAAATGCAAATTTTCCTCCTGTAATAAGCCCCTCGGAATATAAGCTCCTTCCAAAAATAAGCTCCTTACAAAAATAAGCTCCTTCCAAAAATAAGCTCCTTCCAAAAATAAGCTCCTTCCAAAAATAAGCTGCGTCCGAAAATAAGTTCCCTCCAAAAATAAACTCCTTCCAAAAATAAGCTGCTTCCAAAAATAAGCTCCTTCCAAAAATAAGCACCTTCCAAAAATAAGCCCCTTCCAAAAATAAGCCCCTTCCAAAAATAAGCTGAAAACCCTAATAATTACCAGTTGCACATTCAAACATTTTGACACAAATTTCCCTCCAATTATAAGCCCAGCCAGTTGAAATGCAAATTTTCCTCCTATAATAAGCCCCTTGGAATATAAGCCTCTTCCAAAAATAAGCTCCTTCCAAAAATAAGTTCCTTCCAAAAATAAGCTCCTTCCAAAAAGAAGCTCCATCCAAAAATAAGCTCCTAAAAGGTCCTTTGAAAAATATAAATCATATTATTCAGAATTTTACAGTAATTCTCATAGCCATTGATGAATAGCAGTAATGAGTTTGTAAATAATCTATGGTTCTCTGTTAATGGGGGTAATTATTACAAGATAGATTGGTTTTAGTCAACTGAGTTGATCGCCAATGGTAACTAATGATTGGGGTCATGCCATAACTTCCATGTAGCTTTTTCCTGAGAAATATGACAATTAAGCCCGGTGACAACTAATGTCCTTGTGGGAAAAAATGTATCTGGTTTATTTATTTGTTTGTTTGTTGCTTTTTTTCTTTTGGTTTTAGTACACAGGATGGTATGACTGACAACAATGTCAATGGAATTGAGGGCTCTGTCTCGAAGGTATTAGCAGCAGATCCCAACTTTGGCCGGTGAGAGCTTTTCTATTCAGCACTTTGAATAACAATTATTGTGCAACTTTTTATTGGCATGGACTGTTAAACAAATATTGAGTTAATTGAGTTGATGAAAACTAATACCTCGTATGCAAAAATAAATATTTTTCCTCGGATATTCCCATTGCCATTTTAGTGATTAAGTCTTTGCATTCCTTTTAGTTCCTATCAGTAAAATTTACTGCTTGGCCAAAGTCACTACTCCTTTCCAAAAATTTGAACAACTTAGATTATTCAGTTATTGCCATATTAGTGACTGGGTTATTTAAAATGATTTGTGGTGACTTCTAGAGAGCAGTAGATCTTGGTTATAAAGGAATATCTTTCTTATTTTGTCTATGTACGTGAGACTGCTTTTAACTTTGATTATTGGCTAGCAATATGCTCAGTGGATGTCACATAAACCCAGAAATGTTGTAACATATTCGAGAGAGTTTCTGTGGTTCAGTGCTAGGGAAGTATTTGAGAATCTGGCTTCAAGGACAAACCAGACCTTCATTCTAAAAGAGTATTAATTTATGGTATCATTTTTGTGGAGTGTCTCATTTAAATGACATTACCTGTTTTTATTTAAGTAATGGGTCATGTGATCTCGTGTGGCTTAGACCTGATCTCATCTGGAAAAGGAATCCACACAGATCAAGAGCTGAAGAGCAGCATGCTGTCCCTTAAAGGGTTAGCTGCCAGGAGTAACATCACAAACAGAGAGAGACTGCATGTCAAGGCAGTCAAAGAATGGGCACAAGGGTGAGTGTTACCAAGATGTCATGTCAATCACTGAGACAAAATAACATCACAAACAGAGAGAGACTGCATGTCAAGGCAGTCAAAGAATGGGCAAAAGGGTGAGTGTTACCAAGATGTCATGTCAATCACTGAGACAAAATTTTGACTTTTATTAAGTATTTGTCTCTTCCTTTAAGACGCGTCTATTTAAATGGGTGACTAATCACATTTTTAATGATTGTGAAATGAAAATCATATACGTGAACTAAGGATTAAGAATTGAGCACTAAATAAGCAGTAATAAAAATAAAGCGTTCACAAAAACTTCTAGTCTTGTGCGGGCTTTAAATCCTTGATCTCTGAGATACTGGATACTGCAGCGCTTTAAACAGATTGTTCCTTTTCAACAACATCTTTATTTGAATTATGAATGAAGACTACCTGAAATATAGCGAAGCTAATCGAGTCAGGTAGTATGGGAAACGTTTCCATTACATATTAAGATAATATTATTCCAATGACAAAAAAATAAATAACAATTACAAAGGTACATATGTCAATTACAAAAGTAAATACAAAAATATAGGTATACTAATTACGAAGCCACGAGCACATAATTAAAAACAGGAAAAGCTCAAAATACTCTTTATTTTAATGAAATCTAGTTTCTTGCCATCTCAATTATTAATATATCAATATCAGGATTTAAGAATCCTGGTCTAGAAGGATTTGAAGTAACGATTCGGCTATTTTTTTCTTGAAACTATATTTTGGAAGCTGTCTCAAAACATCAGGAATACAGTTCCAAATTTTTTCGCCCATAGAGGAAAAAGAATTATTGTAGTGATTTAGTCGAGTGTAGTTTATTTAGAAGTTACCAGTGGTAGAAGATCGTGTGTTATAATGATGAGCATCTTTAATGGGTCTAAAGAGAGCAGAAATGTTAGATGGCACGACTTTTTTATAGACATCATGCATTAAGATAGAGCAATTTTTAAACTAGATTAAGGTTAAAGGCAGAATATGGGTAGAGATAAAAAGTGGAACAGCGTGAACATTAAACTTAGAGAAATTCATCTAGCGGGCTACCCATTTTTGAAGATGGAGTATCTTGTTTAGGTGCGTTTTGGCTGCCTGTCCCTAGGCAGAGCTGTTTACAGTTATCTATGGTACAATAGTTTATCCCATAACTTTAATATGCAAACACATCTCTCGCACCAAGAATTCGATACTTATTTTTATGCCTAAAAGTAAGGGTGGTCTAAATTATCATCGCCGCCTTCGTCACTTGTGGAAGATTAGAAATATCTTCGAAGGCAAAATTTTCTTATTTCTTTTGGCTACCCACCTATATATCTACACCTACAAATATTAAATTGTCGTGCACAAAACAATTTGTAAAATTTCTACTGCAATGAGTGACTACAGGAAATTTCTCAAATAATCCCTCTACCCTTATCCGGTCCCTTGTCATCGGCGCTACAACACAAGAGGGTGAGCGACAAAAGGGGTACAATTTGGTTGGACAAAAAGGCCGTCCTCACCATATCCCCACTTCCTTCACAGAGGAGCCCCTTATGGACCGCAATATGAACAATTGATTACTGACAATATACTTCTATTCTCATTTCTTTCAGAAATACTGTCCAAGCATGTCTAACGTTGGAAGATATATTAATGGAGAACCCAACTGACATGTTTGCTTTGAAGATGGCTCACGACTCCTACTTCTTGGATACCAACCTCAGATCAAAGATTCAATCGCAAGGGTGATGCTGAAATGAAAGGAAACCATTCCACTCTATGGGTAGATGGCTTAGCGCTAACTGTTCTAAGTATTCAATCAGTGTTTAGTCTGTCTTGTGTGGAGGATCCTGCCTTTCTCTCCGAAGTAAGAGGCTAGGCAATCAGAGAACTTGATCTCATAAACAGCCCTGTTTGTGTCTAACTAAAAAGGTTGTTATGTTAAACTTCAATTAAATACTGTTTTTGATAACCGTAATGACTGGATTTAGAGCCTAGGGCCGCGCTTGTTTACTTATGGTACCTAAAGGGAAGGCGCTTATTAGAAATAGGGCGCTTATTTAAAAAAAAGTATAAAAAAAAGAAAAAAAAAACAGCAATGAGTTGAGTGTTAATCTGACGGTTGTTAATTATATGAGGAAACATTAAATTATCTTCCTCATCAACAGCAGATATCCTCACGGAATGTACGCGTTTGGCCTGATAGAAACAGGATTTTACAAAAAGGCGGAGAAGCATGCAGTTAAGTTAGCTTTAAAACTTTGTTGATAGCGATTTTGCGATATTTAACTTCTTAAACAATTTAGGATTAGCCTGTCGTGATCTTAATTCTGAATCGTGGCTGAGTAGTAGGCTTACAGTCTACATTTCCTTGTTGTGCTTCACATAATACTTCAATGGTGTGGTTGTGTTCATTGCTTGAAGAGGCAGACCTCACCATTTTGCAGTGAAAACGCTGCAGCGATTACCACATCGGAAGTGGTTACATCCTAAAACAAACAATGACATTCCGATGATAGTGTTTTATTTATTTTTAACTTTTTTTTTCCCGCGGTGATTTTATCTTGCAAAGGGTCTTGAATTGAGTCCAAGAGATTGCTGGAGCACTCATGCAGAGGCTCATGTCATAGAAATGGAAGGACGTCAGGATGATGGAATTAAAGTCCTTAGCACGACCTTGAATGACTGGACTGTAAGGCCTACATACGGTGAATTGTACTTAACGTTAGCACCGCTTTCTTGCGCATAAAATATAAATTCTCTGCTGTTGCTGCCGTCTGGATCTGGACATTGAAAGTAATTGGAACGGTTGTAATACGTTGGATTGAGGAGCCTTGGGCTCACATACCGAGATAACGGTCAATTTTTTTTTTTTTTTTTTTTTTTTCAGCTTGCATTGGCTCGTTATACCAAGAGTAAAGTTATATGAGTTTTTTCTTCAGGGGATTTACAGAAAAATAAACTCACACCAATACAATAATTCCGCGAGACACGGCCTTCAGTTTCAGCCTCACTGAGATTTTGGGCAATTGTCAGAAAACCGTAGCTTCAAATGACGGTACTACAATATACCAGCAGGGGTTGTTTTTCTTTCCCGTGGTATGCAGTACGCCCTTAGTGTTCCAGCACGTGCTGTGATAGACATCGAGCCGTTTCAACACACTTACTTCTCTCTGCCCTCCGATTGAAGCTTCCCCAGCAACAACAACAATAACAACAAAACGACCACATTATTCCGTATGAAATTGCACAGACCCGAAACGGGGATGATTAGTGAGAAAACAGTTGGGAGACGAAGGGTTGGGGCTTATAGCCAACGTTCAGTTCTTCGTTGGTAAAAGTTAAAGATGTTGGTATTTCTTCCTTTCTTTCTTTCATCCTTCAATCACCCTGTGTAGATGGGAGCTATGCTAGCCTGTCACAATTACTAGCACTGGGCGCAATACCACATCGAAAAAGGTTGTTATCTCTTTAAAGTTAATATAATTATGGTTTTTATGTTTGTTTGTTTGTTTGTTTGTTTGTTTGTGTGCTGGTTTGGTTTCGCATTTGTGTTTATTTCTTTTTAGCCATGTTTACGATTAAACGCCAGCCTTTCTTTATTAGGGAGAACATCAAGCCGCATTGGACATTTATGACGAGGAGGTGTAGTGTAGAAATGATCTATAACCTGTGTTTTATTTTGTTATTTTTAATTCTCATTCGATCACATCTGATTCGCACATGCACGACCTGCATGTCAAATTAAAGTCATTTTTATACCAATTTCTTTTTTTAACTCGCACATTACTTGGAGATTAAAATTATAATAACATTTTCTTTCTCTCTAGAAATGCGAAACACTTCATGTGTGTTTGTACAGTATCGTACACCTAGAGGGTAAATACATTACAGTGACCTCGTTATGGTGCTATTTGAATTGTAACTGTGTAGCTTTTCTCTCTTGGTCAAAGGTTGGGAAACGTTGCCATTCTGGTGCCATGCTTGACTTAGTGGACGCTTCCTCACTGCTCTACACACTTCAGATGGAAGCTAATGAGATAACACGTACCTGCAGATGTGTTGTGAATATCATTATTTGTTATTTTATCGATCGATCGTTTGATCTATCGAATGATTCATAAATCAAGTTATGGCACAATCAGCTCTACTAATCATTTGGCAGTCAGTCTACTAATTATTCAACTATTCAATCAATAATTTATTCAATAGATAGATTAAGGTATTATTCAAATAATCTATGAATCAATCGAGATTAAGCCTTAAAAATTAAGCGTTATTAATCATTGTAATGCATTATTGTATACTGAAATTATTGGCATGGCTGAATTAAACGCACGACGTGATCCCTTTTGTTCTACGATATTTTTTGTTGTTTGTTTTTTTCCTTGAGTTGTTAATGTTAATGATCGGTGGAGAGAGCTGTTTCATTTTTGGGAGTCACACACAGATAATCACATTCTGGTACGTGCCATGCGTTACGCGGAGATGTAGCATACCATAAATTATCATCTTCATATGCAAGTTGAGGAAAGTCGCAGGTGCTTACTGCGATGTCAGCAAACCTTGCAAAATGCCAATTACAGTCCCTCTTGAGAAAGCTCCGATGTGACATTTCTTAATGGCTTAAGGGAACCTCCACTCTTCAAACAACTAGCGTTCAAACTATTCCAAATATACTTTTCAATACATCTGGTTTGAAAAAAGTTGTCTTACCAAGCATTCTGCCTTTTTTTTTTTTTTCTTAACATGTATGCGAGGTGGGAAATGTATTTGACAGTGTCAGTTACTCCTGAAGGGATTTTGGCCATCTCCTGAATCTTTTTGTATATGTTCTTCCTTGTATATGTTTGAGCTCCCGACCTCTGTATTTTGATAGTAACCGATGGTTTCAATTCTCAAGAGCTTCAAAAGTAATCCGGGACTACCGAGATTTTGCCTCACTCTTTTGGGTGATTGGTCTAGAAAACCCTTTACACCTTTTCAACCAATCAGATGCAAACCTAGAATCAATGGCAAACTGGGAACTCCTGCGTTTTCCCACGCGTCGGGCAGTTCTAATTTTGAGTCCTCGTTGGTTCTAAGTGATAGTTCCTTTCCTTATGAAGGGCTGATGGGATTACCTTGGTTTTCGTTGACGATACGCAAGAGACAATCGCTTTCCTTTCCTGGGTGGTCTGGCACAATGAAAAATACAAGCCGTTGCTTTCACTCATACCTCTCATTAGCTATTGTTTAATTGAATTTTTTTTAAATATTTTGTTTAATTATTAACTTTTTCAACTCAGGTTTTCAATGATGTTCATGTGTTGATGTGTACAATGGGAGCTAAAAAGGAAGATGCAACACTAACTCTAATGATGTCACTTAGAGACTTTGTTAGGTAATATGGAAAAAAGTGTAGGAGAACGCTCAGATTAACAACCTGTCATTCAGTAAAAGAGTCATCTGTCAAGTGTCGATGGAGTCTTGGCATTCTAATTAACTTACTACACTTCCTTCGATGTTAAATACCCGTAGACTTCAGTTATAGTTATTTGTAACCGACCATATCACCAAGCACTTTCCCAGGAACTGAAAAGGAGACCATGAGAAGCGAGCGCCAATTTTATTATCACTATCTGCAAACGAGATTTGGCTGCTTCCGCTCGTGGTCGTAAAATTATTTCAAGTGACTGGTTTTCAGTGAAAGAGTCTCATAAAAAGAAACTAACTGAGAGCAGCGATATATTCAAACAGTAGAAATATTCATGAACTATCGTAAAAGAAGCGCGTCTCGTTAACCTTAGGTTAAAGTTTGTCCACGTATTTAAGCAGGTGACTTTCGTATCTACTAATATAATTATCCTGAAACTCTTCGTCTTTATATGAGACGTTTTCAAGGGAGGAAGGGACCTTTAGAAAGGGGGAATCAAGCGCTAAGTTATTTGTCATCTCGATTGACTTTTTCATTAATGGCTCATGTGCTACTAAGACATTAGCTCGATCGTTATTATGACTTAGCCTTGCAATGTGTATTTTTTGTTTTTGGTTTTGTTTTTTGTTTTGTTTTGTTTGTTTTTTTTTTTTTTTGCAGGGATGGCTCAGGAACAAATTGCGAAGTACCTAGAGAGGTTGGTTTGACCCTCTGTGAAGCATTTGAACAGGCAGACAATGTATATTCACCTATTTTACGGTCTCCCAACTTTACTTCACTAAACACTTAACGAACTTATGACTAGAACAATGAAATTCTTGAGGTTCAATTTTGTGTCTTTTTTTATTTTTTTTTTTGAAAGGGAAACTTTGACAGAGCTGTAGACATTTTAAAACCCCTCCGTTATGACGTTGTCAACGTAGGGGGCAGTAACGTACATGTTCGTGTATTTCCTTGCAATTCTTTGTCGTTAATTCTTTGTGGCAACGTCTCTTTGGTTTCTTTTCTTTGACAGAGCGGCACATCTTCAACTTATTCCTGGTTCAGGCTGCTCTGCATTCATCGCGAACAGAGCACCATCACTTGGCAAGGTAAAGTGCAGTTTCTTTTGTATAAACCTATATCTTCTTCATATCTAAATTAGATATCTGTTTATCCTAGCATATGCTAATAATTTTTTTTTCTGAAGAATTTGGTCACAAAGATTCAAGTTATGGCAACATATTCCGGTAGCCTGTTATTCTCCCCCAAGCCTGTTTGAGTCAAGGCTTTTAAATCGTAAAACACCCCACCCAAGGCTCGACACTAGCCAAGTGGCTGGTGACAACTTAGATGTTGCAACAATTTCAGTTCGTTTACTAGCTCAACTGGTCTGTAGAAATTGAAAACCACTTGCCAAAACTAAATTTTTACTAGTCTGTGGCTAGTGAGCTACCGTCAGTGTAGAGCCCTGCCATTGGAACCAGTTACAATGAGGTCGACACGCAGGCGCGATATTCAAAAGTTATCACTTCTTTAATTTAGATCTAATGCGTGAAATATAACCCATAACGGAATTGAACTGAATACTATTAAGCGATACTTGGGCTGAGTCTTCAGCAAAGTGAGATGATTTCTGTTGACACAAACGTCAAACTTTTCGTTATTGTTGAGACCCTTGGGCTAAAAACAACTCTTTGAACACGATTCAGAGATTAAGTGTGGCCATTCAGACGAACACTACCCAGCTCCCAGTTCAATTTCTTTGGCTCAAGCTGAGAGTGTGATTTTTACATATTTCTTACAGTTTTTTTGTTGTTATCGGTCCCTTGTGTTGATGTATCCATGGTCACGGAACATCCGAAAATTCCAAAAATACGACTTTTCTAAATAAAACCCTATAAGATTAACCCTTAACGAAAAGGCGTGTCTTCTTTCAGGAGCATATTGACAGAGAGAAAGGCAATGAAAGAAATCGCTCCAATGACAGACTGACTCATGGGGCAGGCCCTTGCTTTACATGTGGAGTAAAATCGGAAACAGACTCTTAAAATTCAAAATCGGATGGATAACGCCAACACAGTCCGCGTCAAAATAATGGCTCCACAATATTCGCTTAAGGAATTCAATTCACGATAGGAACTCACCAGCTGGCCTGTAATTTCACTCTACGTTCATTTGTGTTTAAAAGTTTTCCATCCAGTAAGTCGAAAGTGGTCCAGAGCTGAGATTGATTCCTACGATTCTCTACTCACTGTTTGATCCTCATTGGTTGTCAATGGTTTTCTCGTGATCACCTTCGTTCTTAGGATACTCTCTCTTACCAGATAACCCTGGTAACAAGTTTGCTTTTGGATTTGATTTCTCGACATTGAGTTAAAAAGTACTCTTAAAATTTTATTTTGGTTGAGAAATCAGCGAACTCGTCGTATAAAGGATTATTAAACTAAAAGGAAACAACACCTTTGTCTCTATGCGTCCCTTGGAGCGTGGTTTTAAAAGATGTTTTGAACCCCTGTTAATTGGAGGTCTGCAGCCAAAGTCTAAAACTTGACTTGAATTGCTATAGTTTCATTAAGACCTTGTAACAAGGATTTTACACCTTATTAGAGGAGTAATTTCCTTACCATTATTTTGGTTTTGTGTAACTCGGACAGCAAAACCATGTTTTCATGCTAAAATTAAAATGCTAAGGTGCATTCAAGTTCCGCATTTAATTAGCATCGTGTGGGGAAATTTTGCTGAAATGCAGTTTAGTGAACTGGTCACCGCCGTAGATGATTTCCTTAGGTTACTTAGTAAGAGACATAGAGTCACTGAAGTCCTAATGAAAACATCGCAGTGCTTCTGCGATGGGGTAGTTAGATACATATCTTTTGTATTCCTTCGTGCCGTTTTGTGTCAAGTTTCTTCTGTAGCTCTACGAGCAGGATCAGCTGCTATCCCCTCTCGGCTTAAGTTTTGCAGGCCTGTTATTCACGTTTACACTTATTCAAAAACTTCCAAGGGAAAGCGAGCTGTAAGCTCGCTTGCCAGTGCAAGTTTTCCCATCTGCAATAATTCCAGGTTTACATACACAAATATACGAGTCAGGGGTATTCTGGCAAATAGCATTCGTATCACAGACAAGTACAGACAGGTAAAGAAGCCCAGCATTCATCACCATCTAATAACAAGCAATCAGATAAGCTGTGCAAATTATGATAAGAAATTAATTGGCAATGGGCCCTCTGAATGTTTACGTCAGAATACTCACTCCTACCCCAAACCCACATAAAACCATTGAGACGGGGTAAAATTTCCTGAGCATTTTAATGCAAAGTAGGCTTGGACAGTCATTTTTCAACAAATGACATCATCACACATAAAAGCTATTCTGTGATATTCATCATCTCCTACTATGAAATATCAAAAGCTTCTTATCAATACATAGATAAATAAAGTAAAATAAGGTAAATGAAGTAATTGAGCAAAGGAGGAAATGATTATTACTGATGCAAGATTGTAAATGATACTTCACTATATATGGTCACTTAATTGAAAGGGACCAAACGCAGTGCAGTATAGCAACTTGATATAAATGTACTGTACCAAAATATTGAGTGCCTTATCACGTTCTAGTACACTAATGTCAACAAATACTAGCAATTGAGTGGTCTTGCCCTCTGTTTCCATAACCTGTGCTTAGACCGTCTCACGTTATAACTCACCTCTTTACTTATTACTTTGAATCTTCATTAAAGCCTCAATGAACATGACTTCTCTGAGGAAAGTCTTCCCCTTTCATCTTAGGTATATGCCTGATACGGATGCATGTCTAAGCGAATTAACTTTAGTCTATCTCGATCATTGATACGCAAACGAAGTGCTGCGAAGTATATAAGTTACTATTTGCGTTAATAAAAAGTTCCTTAAAATCTTTCCTAGGGTTTTGAACCAGACTGAAGGTTAATTAATAATAGCTATATCCTTCATGCAGTTCGCTCATGTATAGCTATCTTTTATACTATAATTTCGACAAGATGCCGGTACCACTTTTTCCCACGATAACATTTACGGAACGAGGTACTCACAAACTTTAAGTTCCTATTTGCTCATAAGAAGCGACAGGGAACATGATTGGTGGTTGAAATGATGTATAAAATTGGTTCAAATACCTGTTTTACACTTAGCGTCGTCCTGCAAAATTCTTGTCTGCCTAATCCAAAGTAGCGATACCGTAATTTACATTTACATCAATGTCAAACTGATAGACAGGGCCACTAGTTAATGTGACTTTCTTGGTAGTCCTCTCAAGTCACATTAAATTAGCATATTTTTTTTAAAGGTATCAATATGTAACTCAATTTATTGGTTAATCCACTTGTGACCCCATCCAGGGTATATCCCCATGAGCCTATTACGAGGAACTTTTTTAACGTCCCCACCCACCACGCCCTCCTCCTTATTTAAACCTCATCTTTTTTGACTGAAAGACCTTGGTCTAAGAATGCAGTTCAGCCTAATTGTGGAGAGCAAAAGTGAAAGCTATTACGAACTTTAGAAGAAAAATCTAGCCTCCTGGCCTATGCAAGTTTTGTCGTACAACGTGCAACGGATTTATCATAGACTACAGACCACTCCGTGTACAAGGCTTTAGACATGCAAGGCGAACTATAAAGCAATAAGTTTTTAAGCACTGGATAGCAATATGCCTGCTCGAGTAATAAGTAAGGTGACCTCTCGTAAGTAGCTATTTTGCCGCGAGGTCCCCTTAATATCTATTAGTAGAGAAGTGAATAAATCTACAAGAAATTGTATTTGACATAAAAAGTTTATTTCGGGATGAATTGTGCTTAATCTAGTTTAGAATCAATCAATCAATCAATACTTTATTAACCCCAGTAGCGTCAAGGAACTCATAGGGCTCGTTCAAAATACGTACGTGCCTCTAAGATTAAGAATCTAAAAACCCTAATACATACTGTCAAGACCTAATTGATTAGAAATAGAAATAACTAACAATTAATATTAAAATTTAAGTTTGTACTGTAAAATCTAAATGAAATTTAGGTGCGTACAAATTAATGCTGGTTCCTCTTGGATTGTACATAGTTTCCCTGAAACTAAAAAAATCTCTTATAAATTTGGGACCGTCGTTATGCAAACATTTATATAACAGAATAAGGGATTGTTGTTTCCTTCTCTGGTCTAACGTTTCCATATTCAAGATTCGCAGCAATTTATCATAAAGGGTAGACTTGCGATAACCTAGCAGTGATCTAAGAATATAATAGTTGGCATCTTCTAGCCGATTCGGTTGCACTTTCTCCAATCCAAGAAAGAGGGGGCAACAGTATTCAAATTGAGGGAGAATGAAAGTTCTATAGAGCCTTAACATAACATTGCCAGGCACAAAACGCCTGATTCTCCTAAGTGCGCCACTTTTAGCGTAGTCCTTTTGAAGCTGTCTAGTAATGTGATCCTTGAAAGATAGCATGCTATCAAGAACATTAATAGAACATTAATACATTGCATTGTTAGAACATTAATACATTGCATTGTTAGAACATTAATACATTGCATTGTTTCAATGCAAAACGGCCATTATGCCGTGACAACGGTTACCCTTCTAATAGTCTCGCTATTTTCTAATACCAATTCTTTAATGGATCCTACTTTCTTCACTTTTCTTGTGTATTACCTAACACGAATAACAATTTATCAATATCCGAATGGAACAAACTGCCCTTGTAAAACTATTTCGGCCCAACAATATTAACTTAATGGTGGCTTCAAACATTTTCGTCGTTTTCACACACTAATTCTTCAATGTATCATACTCTCTGAACTTTCCCTATGTAGTACCTAGCAAATTTTCTTTTTCTGCAAAAGTTGCTATCGTTGTTTTAATATTTAAGGTGACTGCAGAGAAACAGTGTCTTGAACATCTTAGTGAAAAACTAAATTTCAACTTCATGTGCCAAAATGAAAAAGAGAAGCTTATTACATAGAAATTGCCCTATAAATATTTCATTTTATGCAAAATGAAGTATGAAATTACTAGAGTTTCGAAGCCACCATCATTCTGATACCTTAAAGTTTGAAAATATTGATCCATTCAGAAATTACTGTTCTAAGAGGAACAAAACCATTTTGATCCACCTTTATCCGTAAAGTTCCTGATTAATGGAATTGACGATAAGAAAACTTTAATTACACCTAAATCAGTGATATATTACAAATTGATAATGACTGAGTCAAATCTGTGTCAATGGCCAACACACGGCATTTTTTTTCAAATTTACACAGCCATCACGTTATATTCTATTTACTGTATAACCGCCAATCAAATACCAATCAGCTCTCTGGTGGGATTTTCTTTCATTGTTTCTCTCCTTTTTGTACCTTGCAAAAAATTATATAACGTAAAAAGTTGAGGTCATGAATAGCCTTTTTCTTCGNTCCACTGAGCTTTATCAAAATCTGTGTCATAATTAATAGAACAGTAGCTTCTTTTATAGGTCATACTCGGCACTAAACAGGTTTCGGCCATCTTGGAGTAGTGTTTCTGGATGAAAATCTTTTTCTCCCAGAGGCGACCACCAAATTGTTTCTCTTTACAAAATTGATACATTGTTATGCAGATACTTAGTGAAAATATAAATGGAAAATATATTAACTCTGAGATATTGTTAGCATGTAAGGTATTTTAAAAGATTCTCAGAGATTCTGCGCTTGCAGAATAAAAAATCTGTGGCAGAATTACAGGTATGATAATGAGTGTGAAAGTTTGGCAGTGAAGGATTTGAAGTTTTAAGACAAGAAGTTAAGAATTTGGGGGAGTTGTACAACTTATAAAGGTACCTATCAGCATAGAAACAGTAATGTACTGTATACGGGTACAAGGTTTAATTGGCCTTAGCTGTTTTATTGTAGACAATATGCACAACATATATCTTATTAACCAAGCGCGAGGGCCGTACTGGGAGAGTATTGGCCCGAGGTCTTGACAGTACGGACCGAGCGCAGCGAGGTCCGTACAAAAAAGACCGAGGGCCGATATTCTTCCAGTACGGTCCCGAGCAAGCTTGGTTAATAAGAGATTTATCATACGACTGAAATTCAAAGGGACACAAGTGCGGTATCATTCGGGACCATTCGGGACAGTGCACAGTCCAATACTTAGAGAATATTGGACAGGCAATAGAAAATTTTGATTGGTTGATTTTAGTTATTGACCCTCTGACTGCGCGAGTCGTGTAATAAAAATTAATAATGACTTAGTCAAATCTGTGTCAATGGCCAACACACGGCATTTCTCAGATTTACACGGCCATCACGCAATAGTCTATTTACTTTATGAACGTCAATGAAATACCAGTCAGCTCTCTGGTGGGATTTTCTTTCATTGCTTCTCTCCTTTTTGTACCTTGCAAAAAATTATATATTAACAAAGTTGAAGTCA